TTCGATACACACTTTCTCTGGTTTAGTTAAATCGGCCCTAAGATTTTTCTGATTCTTATCCAGTTAAAGACAATTCAAGACCTTTGCTGGTTCAGTTTAAATTGACCAATGATTTATCCTGATTCATTTCTGGTAGACACTTTCTCTGATTCAGTTAAATCGACCCTAAGATTTCTCTGATTCTTATCCAGTTAAAGGCAATTCAAGACCTTTGTTGGTTCAGTTTAAATCGACCAATGATTTATTCTGATTCGTTTCCGGTAGACACTTTCTCTGGTTCAGTTAAATCGACCCTACGATTTTTTTTATTGTTATCCAGGTAAAGACAATTCAAGCCTCTGCTGAATCAGTTTAAATCGACCAATGATTTATCCTGATTTGTTTTCGGTAGACACTTTCTCTGGTTCAGTTAAATCGATCCTAAGATTTTTCTAATTCTTATCAAGTTAAAGACAATTCAAGACCTCTGCTGGTTCAGTTTAAATCGACCAATGATCTTTTCTGATTTATTTCTGGTAGACACTTTCTCTGGTTCAGTTAAATCAACCTAAAGATTTTTCTGATTCTTATCCAGTTAAAGACAATTCAAGACCTCTGTTGGTTCAGTTTAAATCGACCAATGATTTATTCTGATTCGTTTCTGTTAGATACTTTCTTTGGTTCAGTTAAATTGACCCTAAGATTTTTCCGATTATTTTCCAGTCAAAGACAATTCAAGACCTCTGCTGGCTCAATTTAAATCGACCAATGATTTATCCTGATTCGTTTCTCGTAGACACTTTCTTTGGTTCAATTAAATTGACTCGAAGATTTATTCTGATTCTTCTTCCAGTCGGAGTCAACAATTACTTTAGATGGCATCTATAAGCCCATCTCCGACGACTCTCTGTTACGTCTCCAAATGGAATTTATAAGCCCATTCCTGATACAATCAACCAAAAACGTCACTTCTTACACAGGCGAGTGCAAATTCCTGGGCACTTAAGTGTTCAATCATCTTCTACCTTCAGGTCACGAATAGAGAACATGTCAATCTAACTCTGCAGGTTTAAGAAAATTGAACAGGGGCAGCTGTTGTACCCCAAAAATTTTCCCTCCCCTTTTCTTCTCAAGACTTTCTTTCAAGGCTTCTAAAATACCCAAGACACTCAAGGGTTGACTAGTCAAGATGCACCTCCTAAGCCAAAATCCCACAACTAGGGTTTGGATTTTCTCAAGGAAATTTGGATTGCAAAGGTCTCAAGTGGCTTCCATGGTTCTTCATAGGTCCTTAACAAGGTACATGTCAAGTTGGAATCCCTACATCATAAGTTTGCTCAATCAAAGACTCAGATGATTGAAAGTCAATTGTACTGATCAAAAAGTCAATTGTGGTTAACATACAGTCAAACTTCAAGATTTTTGATCAACATCAACATTTTGAAGTGATATCAATCATTTTATCAAGGGTTGATCATGATTCCCCAAGGAAAGCCCTCAAATCATCAAAAACCAAGAATTGTCAAATTAGGGTTTCCTTAGGAGAAGTCAACTGAACTTTGACCAGGTATAACTTTCACATGCTTCATCATCTTTTCCCCAACCAAAGCCTATTTTGAAGAAAATTCAATTTTCTACAACTTTTATTTTATTATCAAGACCAAAAAATGCTACATTTGGAAGATATAAGCTCATACATTATAGGTCATTTTCAAAAGTCAACAAAAAGACACTTTTTGTCAAGGCAACTTACATCAAGATAATGACTTCAAAAGAAAAAAATTATCAACATAGAGATTGTATAGGATATCTTGAGCGTTCCAAAAAGTCAAAGATCATCTTCGAAAGATAAAAATTGAGCAAGTTATGAGTTTCACAAGTTGGGAGATTTTGAAGAAATTCATGAAGTTCAAATTTGGCAATTTTGAAACTTTGAGCTAATGAGCCTAATTTTTGGTGTTCAAACATGTTTACCAAATATTAGATGACCTCTAAGTCCATTTATCCATGGCTGTGATTTTTATTTATTTTTATTTTTATTTCGTTTAATTAAAAATCAAATAAATTTAATAAAAACACAAGAAAACATGGGATATGCATATGGGCTTGATTTGATCAACCTTGAAGCCCATTAATTCGTGCTAACCCACCAGCAAAATGTCCAGGTTCATGCAAGCACAAGGATGGCAAGAATTATCAAATATGGCAACTTTTCAAATTTTTTATTTTTGTTTTAAAACCATGGTTTATGGTTTGATTCTTTCCATGATTATTCACTTCACTCCCTTTCTCTTTATAAGGACACAACTCAGAAGCAAGAAGAGGCATAGGCTATGTCACAAAAGCTCTCAAAATTTCACAAAAATTTTCAAAGTTGCAAAATTCAGAACTCAACCTTCTAGCCATCATCAATCAAAACCAAGCCTTGTATCGTGTCCCTGAGACTCCCAGGAACTCATTCCAGTCCTTCCCAAAGCTTGAAGCACCCTAGAATTCACCAGCCAAATCGCTCTGGTTTGTTCATGCTCTTAGATCTCAAACTTTTTATTCATGTCATATAAATTATTTTTGTGCATTGATATATGTTTGTGAGACCATTTAGAACAGGTTAGACGTAACTCATGTGAGATTTGAAGCTTAAAATGCAGGTTGCCATTGCTAGGGTTTCAAAGTTTTTAATCGTCGATCTGGGCGATACAAGGACTTTCAGCCTAAACCAATGTCAGATTTGGACTTAGGGGAAGATTTTAAGGGGAATGGGGTAGATCATACATTTTAATTGATGCATTTTTTTGCAGGTTTGAGATTGCCCATGGTTGAAGAAGACGACCGGAGTTTGACTGCGGCGTCCCTGAGCTTCTTTGACTCCATCCAGGGTATGCGTGGATGGAAATGGCATTTTGATTGGTTCGTTTAAATATCCAGGGTCCCACTGGGACGCGCGTACTTGCTGATCTGGACCTAACCCTCATTTTATTTTATTTTGTTTTATTTGAACTAATGTAAACGAATGAGTTAACTGGTCCAGCGGTAAAGCGTGCATGTGTGAAGCCTATGAGTCTGGGTTTGATCCCCAGGTTTCGCATTTTACTTTTCCAATATTTTCTCTTCAAATCTGGTGTATGCAGGGACAACGCGTGCAGGATATAACTCGCATATGGACCATCAAACCTCAATGGACATTAGATCCAGTGCCTCAGACGTACGCTCCCCATCATGGACCCTCAAAGGCCATCCCCACTAGATCCTGCACAATGCTGGACTTTGCCAAGTTAGGTCTTGCAAAAATCTGATTTACACCCCCTAACTCTTTTTTTTGCAGCAGCCCATTTACATTCTTTTTTTTTAATTATTATTTATTATTTCATTTTCTATTTTTCTTTTCCTTTAATAATCAATTTATTTCAATTTAAAAATCAGAAAATCAGAAAATCACAAAAAATATTAGACTTAAGTTTTTTCTAATTAATTTAATTATTGTAAATTTTAATTAATTATTTAATCATCTTTTTCTTAATTAATTAAACTAATTAGAATTAGATTTTCATTAATTTAATTAGTATTTTTCCTAAAACAAAAACAACAAAAATATTTCTTTTATCACTTAGAATTTTTAGGGTTTTAGATTTTACCTATTTTCCACTCTCCGCGCATTTACTTATTTTCGCATTATCATATTATTGTAACTGTATAAAGGATGTAATAGTTTAATTTAGGATATTTACATTTTCCCCCCATTTTGGTTTGTATTCCCCCCATCCCGAAGCGATGTAATAACGTAGTTTAATTTTTGTATTTTTATTTTTCTGCACTTGTATATATTTAACTGCTAGATGTATGCTAATAGGTTTGCATGACAAGATTTAAAAGCAAACGGTAGAAAACCTAACATCCAAGACAAATAATTGAAACACAACACACTCACACACGCGCACCTCTAAGGTACCTCCACTTGTTGCCTTTGAATAAACAGTCATGTCCCTCGAATGTGGGAACGCTTTAGGAAAGTCCCTCCAATACAAAAAGATCGTAGTCCCTCGATGACCCTTTCGGTAAACGATCTAGTCCCTTACGATAAAATTGCTAAAGCGTCCTACAAGTTACCTTTATGAATGTACGATGACCCGCGCCCGTCCCTCAAACATCCAACGATGGGGCTACCTACTGACTAATAGTAGGATAGAATTGTCTAAAGAAAAAGATGAAAAGAGCAAAGATTGTTCGAGTAGGTATACCGCTTATAGTTGCTTGCACACAAAAACAAACAAAACAAATTTTTCACACATACGCAAATTCTTTTTTTCTAAATATTTTCAAAGACAAAAAACACTTTGTATACGTTCTCGATGATACGAGAAAAATTACAAAGTTCGTCGCACTAAGACGTCTTTTCAAAAATATTTTCAAACACACTTACACAAAAAAAGCATCAAAGTGAGCTAGGAACTAAGAGCCCGTAGATAACTACAGATGAAAAGGGTGTTAAAACCTTCCCTTTCCATAACCTACCCCCGAACTCAAAATCTTTAAAAGGGTATTTCCTGTTCTTTTCACCCTTTCCTTTGTTGGATAAAAGAAAAGTTGGTGGCGACTCTTGGTAACCGCAACATTTACGATAAAAACGCAAAACCAGTAAAGTCAGTTCTCCTACCGTATTACAGAATCATACATTCAAATCAATTTGTATCCATTCAGGTTCTCTAACCCTTAATGTTTATGTTTTGTTTGGCTAATGGGTCATTTATATTGTATCATAGACTTTTATCTCTTATTTCCAATCAAGATAAACCACCAGCTGATAATAACAATTCATCCAAAGATGATTCTGGTGGAAAAAAGGAACAGAGAATGATGCTGGAATATGTTATAGGTGGAACATTTGATATTCCAATAGTTTCCTCTTTATTCTTTTCAATTCATTCTTGAATTCTTTCCTTTTTCGTTTATTTCATAGTTGTAATCTTTTTGCAGCCAATTCTGTGGTTTGTCTCTCATGTTAATCTGGATTTCTTGCTCCAAGGATGAACGAGTTATGGAAGAAGTATGTAACACCACTTTCTTTTTTTTATAATCTTGAAAATTTATCATTTGTCTTCAATTTTTCTTCATGAGTTTATTTATGAATATTTGTGTGTTGCTGAATATGTGAAAATGTGTATTCGTAAGAATAATGCAATGTTTACGACTCGTGCCAATGCGAACCTGAATGACTCGACTTGTATTTGCTCGCAGGTTAAGATGTGCAATGAACTTGACAGTGGAGTGTATATGGTGTTGCTTCCATTTATCGGGTCGAAACCAATCTAGAACACAAACATTAATGCATTCTCTTAAACATTTTTCGGTTCCGAATGTTTCCTTCCATATACTGATTTGCTTTCTATTTAAGATCATTGCATTGTGGATCAACAACACTCTCTAACCTCAACTTATCTGCACCTTCTGGATTCAGACTTCGATCTAATTGCGGTAATGTAGAACTTCCTTTAGCTATCTTCAAACTGCTATGCCCTTTTGAGTGGCTTTCTTTATTCTATTTCAAGATGCGATATAGCCTGGTAATTAGTGATTTTGCAGATTAGGACAAGGGTTTTTTGTGCTTACTCATTGGATTGTCATTGAACTCCTTAAAAATGAACATGAGGAGCAGGATCGAAAGCGCTGCATATCCTATTCTTTTTGCAGCATGTTTAGAGTATTTGGGCGTGGTGCTTGGTCTGGAATTAGGTTCGGGCAGTTAGAATTGCTATGGAGTGTTTTATTTGCTAGTTAGGAGTTTTTATGATTTGAATCGATCTCGGCCCTTAAAACTTGAATTAGTTAGAGATTTCGAACGATTAGGATTGGTTGTTATGAGGTTAGCTATGATTCTCAATTTCCGAAGATTGGATGAGCTGCAATTTCTTGACTGATATTTTAATTCTGATATATCATTAGTAATGCCAACACCAACCAGAACATACTATTATTTCTTTTGTAAATAATTGTTTCATAATCTGACCATATGTGTTATTATATGCAGCATAGCCAATATGAAACTTCTATTATTCATACTCTCACAAATAATCTGCTTTCAAGATGATGGAATTTCTTTTTCTCAGACTTGTTTGGACCAAATAATATGAAACTTTGTGATGTATAGTAGATTCAATATAATGCTTTCACACACCGGAAGAACACTTCCATTACTACTACACAGTCAAACTTCTGTTTATTGTTTGTATTTGTTTGTAGATCAGTATTAAAACTGTGATTTTTTAGAATGGCCACATGTTTTACATTGAGTTTAAGAAACCTATTAAATTTATATATTGGGATCTTGATTATAATGTAACAAATCAACTGTATATCTTAAATACTTTGATATAAGTCATCTAGCTTATGTTTAATATGACACTTTAAAAAAATACGATATCATTTTTCTATAGTAAACTACACAAACTAAAAGAGAAGAAGAAAAAAAACTAACCACTCATTCATATGATCTTCCAATCTTTAAAAAATTATAATAAAATATCTTAAACAAAATAAGAAAAAGTACATAATCTTGAAGACAATATCTTGGCACATAAACAGACATCGTGTCGCATATCCATGTGTTCGCTCTAAGTGGTACAAAAACTAATATGCATCTTAAATAAATAGTAAAAAATTTAATTATTAACTCATAAAAGATTTGTTAAAACACTAAACTTTATCATTAGAATATTATTAATTAAACAGCAGTGATAATTATTGTATAAAATTCTAAACTTTTTTGATAGTACGATTTTTTTTTATATTTTAAAAACAAAAATATGCGTATCACAAGAGTACTTGTGTATAACACACTAGTTTCAATATAAAAATTATGTTAAAATTTAAAACTGTTAATTTTAATTTTAAGTAGAATTAATTATAAAAAAGAATCAAATCTACTGTAAAAGAATTAATCACTTCAAAATCATTATAAAATAAATTATATATCTTTGAAATTTTTTTACCTCTTCCAAAAGCTATACAAGTAACTATCTAATTTTTAACCAAACAAAACAATCATACATATGTAGCATTGAAACATCTGAAAAATATACGTGTATATTTTGGTGTCAGACAGCTACAATGACTCTTGGGATTAATTTTATTTTATTTAAAATTATTATCAATGTAGTCACGTCAATATCATATCATTGTCATAATTAAGGCATCCATCCTTCTAATTATTTAATGTTATATTGTATTAAAAACATGTCTGGCAAAAGAGGTTGAGTTCTTAAATATCTTTTAGACAATTAGTGTTAGAAAAACTAATAAAATAATAGTTTGATTCACGAAAATAAACCAAGCAGTAATTGTGGAGGATGCAGGAATCAGTGTGGAGGATACTTGTCTTTGTTGTGCTGGCCATGCCTGCTATGGCTGTGTGGTTCTGCAGGTCTTTGGGTTGGTACGGAGTCCTTGTGTTGGACAGATTTTTATGTGGTGTTTTGACTATGTTTGCGATGTTGACAAAGGTGTGGTATTTGTATTGTGGCACTTAGTTAATTTGTTTATGTAATGAATGTTTAAATCGGGTGAATTGTATTGGAACTTGCTGTTATTGTACTGGGTGGCATAGCTTATACCATACTCATCCGTATTAAAAATGGTGTTTTTGGCTTAGAATAGCAAGCAATAATTGCAAGTGAAGGACCCACGAATCACAGTGTTTAATGTTAGAATTGAAAATACTTGGCTACTTGCTTTGCTTGGAATTTGGGTCCAAAATGTCTTCAAAACTAAAAGTAAACCATAAATGTATTGTCCATAGCCACGTGCTTTAGTACCATCTACACTTTTAAAAATTATTAGCCACCGTCCCTTTTTAATTTATGTTTCAATTAATATCTTTCGGTGTCATTCAACCATATATTTTTTCAAGATAAACTTTCTATTGTGAATTTATTATTATATGTCCTAAGCATACAAGTTAGTATATATATATATATATATATATATATATATATATATATATATATATATATATATATATATATATAGAGAGAGAGAGAGAGAGGGGCTTTTAAAAACTATTAGTTTAGTTTCTTTTTTAAGTTTTGTGTTTGAATTTAATCTCTCATTCAATTTGATGCTTATTTTAACAACAATACTTTATATCAAGAGTCAAACCACTAACACTTTGCACTAACACTTTCAAGTTCTAATTAACTCTCTCAGAATTTATTTATAACAACCATACCATAATCACCATTGAAATATCATCATTACTATGCAACCAACACTAAACCTCAATCACAGATATCCAATCCACCTCTACATCATTCTCAACCTCAATCACAGATTCCATCAACTCCAACACCCTCAACAATATGAACCAACAAAAAAAAAACAAATTCATTCAACACAACAAACTAAATAAATCAATCAAATCCCAAAAAATCCTCGTCAAACAAACTAAAAAAATATAACTTTTTCAATTATCATTATATCATATCAACCAAAAGTACCTTTAGTTGAACAACAACAATATTAACGGTGAATCCAAAATAGTTGCAATTGAGACTATAGTTGACTTAATTAAGATTACATTTAACTTGAATTCTCCATAATATAAAAATCTTGATATCAAACATTATACTTATAAACTGTTTGTGAAAATGCCTCAACGAGGTTAATTTAATTTTGATTGAAAACAATATTTTTTCAGTAAACACTTTATAATTATGGCAATTTTGAATACCTGCACTTAGAAACAATAACAACAAGATCAGGGGTACCAAATCCTTCGCAGCAAACAAGCAAAAGTTCACGAAAACTCGTAAACGATTCGGCGATGATATCTATTTTTTTGTTTTTTTTATTGGTTCAGATTGTTGAGGGTGCTGGAGCTGATGGAATCTGTGATTGAGGTTGAGGATGATGTAGATGTGGATTGGGTATATGTGATTATCTGTGATTGAGGTTCAGTGTTGATTGTATCATAATAATGATATTTCAATGGTGGATATGGTATGATTGTTATAAATAAATTCTGAGGAAATTAATTACAACTTGAAAGTGTTAGTGGAGTGGTTTGACTCTTGGTAAAAAGTATTGTTGTGCTAATTTTTCTGAGTTTGAAACTCATTGAAATCAATTTTTTTGACATTATCATTATTTCATAAAAAATGAACAAAATAATTATAATTATAAAAATTAAAAAAGAATAAAAAAAATAACAGACTAAATTCAAACATAAAAAATAGACTAAAATAGCGGTTTTAAAGTGGGAGGATCAAAATCAACATAAAAGACTAAATAGGGAGATCAAAGTTGCAATTAAACTATATATATATATATATATATATATATATATATATATATATATATATATATATATATATATATATATATATATATATTGTTAATAAATATAGTTGGGTCTAACTTATCAATTCTTTTTTTATTTTAAGTTTTTTGTACTTTCAGTTATGGCTGATTGTATTTTTCTCGAATAGACTGAAACCTATCAATATATAAAGGTTAATCATTTTCTTGTTATAAGTTTAATTAATTCAATTCATAGAATGACGTTCTCTTTACACGTTATGCTTCATTTTGCTCTACTAATCATTGTTATCATCCTTCAACCTCAATCATTCTCTTTCTTCCCTTTCAATGGTTAACCCGAGTCACTCTAATTTTGCAACAAATTCTGCTAATCTCTATTACCTTCATCCAAACAAAAATCCAACTCTTGTTCTTGTTTCCTTTCTTCTTGATGCCAACAATTATCCCACACGGTCCCGGTCAATAGAAGTTTCCATAATTTCAAAGAATAAACAATATCTCATAAACGCCACACTCTCCAAAATATTAATTATTGATCCTCTTCATGCACCATGGACAAGATACAATACAATGGTTCTTTCTTGGTTTTTTCGGTCAATCAATGAATTAATCGCAAAATCCGTTCTTTGGATTCATACCAATGTTGGGGATTGGGAGAATCTTCGAACGCGATTCTCTAAGAGCGAAGTCTTCATAATTTCTCACATCCAAGAAGACTTATACAAATTTCGGCAACGTACTCTCACTATTTCTTATTATTTTACTCAATTCAAATTTTTCTAGGATGAACTAGAATCATACCGACTAATTCCTTCATGTTCTTGTTCAATACCTTGTTCGTGTGGAGCAATTGCATCCGTCAAAACCTATCAAGAACAAGGTTATGTGATTCGTTTTATGAAGGGCCCTAATGAGATGTTTTCATCTTCAAATTTGAAAATCATGATTATGCACCCTTTACCAGATATTCATCAAGCTTTCTCGTTGATGATTCAACAAGAACGTGAGATGAATCCCCCTTCTTCTTTGGATTTGCCTTCAATAGATACAATGGTCCCTTCTCCTATTTTACAGGTAAATTCAAGTCCATCTTAAGGTGGCAACAAAACTTGG